GTGGTTCTTCAAAGAACATCGACTTTTGTTTAGTACGACTTTTGAAATCCCATTCTTGCTATTTCTTATGTTGATAAACAACCGATAGTGTCGTGTGATTGGAGCAAGTATGATGATGCAATGATTGCTACTTCATAAATTGATAAATCAATTAATGTTTGCAATGTAAGATATTACGTATCTCGTATTCGATGATTATAAATTTACATATGGATTTTTATAAAGTTGACTATGTGTGAAATTTGATTACGTCTGAATTTTTTTAGTCCATTTTTTTTAATTAATGCTTATAAATTCTTCATAGGCAATATGATCGTGGTTAAATGGATTGAGGCTTATTGTCAATAGTTGTTTGAATTCAAACGTTTCAACTATTGGCTATTTGGACTTGAATATTTGAAAGGAGAGGATAATTTGAAGCATATTGTAGAGGGGAGTAATAGAAACACATGTTTGTTGGTTTGGACGTTGTGGTTGTGTTGTATATGTGTTATACCCATGCCTAATAATTATAGATAATTACATTGTAATTCTTCAGAATTAATCGGGTTCTTGGAACACTTGTCGTGTTGTCTCAAGGCGCACTCTTTTATTGTAACTTATATTAAAGCTTACCTTGATTTGAACATCTCGACTGTCTAGTTGTCAGCCAAAGAAACACAACCTGTAGTTCGATATCATATGTCTGGCTCTATAACCATTGTTCATTTAGCATCTATAGCGTATATCAGATATTGTGTTTAATGCACTTCTACTATCATCATTATTTTCGTTCCCAAATTGTCATGTTACAATATTATCCGAATCAATTTGTTGTACCTAAAACTTTGCATCGAACACTCTTATGTAACTTTAGAGCAAACTAATTTCTCCTTCAAAATCAATGGATTCTAATGATCGAGCTTGGAGTTAGTAGAAATCGCATAAGTCAAGAGTAAACTCTTGGGTTGAATAAATTTTAGCTACTGCTAGACATCACTTGGGCTTAGATGGAACTTGTACTCAATGTGAAAATACATGGCTACAATAACTCCAAAGGCTTCAGCTCATATTCAATGATATGGTAAGCTTACAACATGCCAACGGTGGATTCATCATGGTGAATATCTTACAAACAAAGCAGAAGACGACCACTTTGAAGGTTTGTCAATAATGAAGATAACCATACATTAAGACGCTATTATAGATGAACAAGGACACCTTTTTTTAACGTGGACCGTTCAAGTGAAAACTATGTTGAGGATGATTCAGATGTTAATCATGGTCATTTTAACAAGTTAATTGAGCAACTCAACAAGGAACTATATCCAAGATCCATGAATCTGACATTACTACAACATGTAGTGAAGTTGATGCACATCAAAATGTTGAACAACTGGTCTGATAAATCAGTAAACATGTTATAGTTTGAACAAAGTATTCTCCCATTAGGCCATAATATTCTGACATCATACTATGAGATGAAGAAAATGTTGATGGAGATTGGGCTGTGATGTCACAATATTGATGTTTGTAATTATGATTTTGCTTTGTTTCATGGTGAATATGCTAACCTAATTACATGTCATATGTTGGAAATTTTAATAGAAAATGTGATTTTTTACTAACTTTGGGCACATTTAACTACATGTATATGGTTTAATTTTAATTGACTCTTAGTGGGTTTACGTTCTTCGTTATGAGAGCTTTGAAACCATATATAATGTGTTCAAAACCGAGTATGTGTGAATGAGATATCGAGGCTCAAAGTTGGGTACTTGGGATGAATTTAGCAAAACCAAATGGGTGTGTGGGAGGAGTCCCACATAGGTGGGATGATTGAAGTTTTCATGGTTTATAACCATGGACTTCACAAAGGCTTTCAAGCAATTATGAAATGCTATGCTCCAACACCTATGCGCGCGTAGGGGGGGTGCGGATTGTGGATTTTGTAGGCTAAATCCGCCGAACTCATGTGTGGGCGTGACCTGCGGACACGAGCTCGCGCAACCTGGTTTTTGCTGAAAATTCTTATCTGGTCTGTTTATTTTTCAAACTTAATTCAGTTTTAGTAACTGAATCGATTTAATGGTGTTTAAGGGAATCGTGTCAAACACGAGCCTCAGCCATCTCTACTTCTTCTAAAATTCAGAATTACTTTCGGTTTTCTTCTTTTGAATAATATGTTGCTGTTTCACTTAAACATAATCGATTACTAACATCATATTTGTGATCGTCCTCGATACAAGAGGAACAAGGTTCCTTTTAAGAGGATGAGATATTTCCCATTAACACCTAGACTTCAACAACTTTACAGCTCACTTCATACTTCTAAAGATATGTGATGGCATGCCAGAAAACCAAAGGTTGAGGCTTGGAAAGACTTTGACTTGACTAATCCCGCTTTTGCAACAAATTCAAGGAATATAAGACGAGGTTTGGCATCAAATGGCTTCAACCACTTTGGGAATATGAGTGCATCATATAGCACTTGGCCTATAATCGTAAAAGCATTGAATCATCATCCTAGGAAATAATACGTCAAACCACTTACGGGATGTGTTTGTTGATTCCCGGTCCAAAATCCTCGGGTAAAGATTTTGACATATTCATGCAACCATTAATTGATGAGTTAACTTTGTGGGTTGGAGTAACAATATATGATGCCACTAGTGGACATATTTTCAATCTTAAAGTCAGTGTATTGTGGACGGCATCATACTTTCTTGCATATGCTTACTTGTTTGGTTACTCCACAAAGGGACACTTGGCATGCCCTAAATGTTTAGAAAACAGACATTTTCGTATTATCAAAAGCAATACATGTTATGTGGGGTCTAGAAATCGTTGGATTTAATGGTTTCGTTAAATTTGATGAACCAAGTAAGCCAAAATCTGGTGATGAGATCGTTCAGTTACTAGGCGAGTTACCTTCAATGACTCCTGGGAAAGCACCAAACCATTCTGGTACAAAAAGAAATTTTCATGAGGCATCCTTTGCAAAATTGGCCAACTCATAGTATTTTCTTCGAATTAGAATGTTGGCCGAATTTAAAACTATGACACAACTTGGATGTCATGCACATTGAGAAAAATGTGTATGATAATATCATTTATACCTTATTAGGTGTCGGGAAAAAAAAGATACAATCAAGGCAAGGGTGGATTTGGAAGATTTTGGCATTCCGAAAGAATTATGGCCACAAAAGTCAAATTTTGGTGTTCTAAAGAAACCTCATGCAAGTTATACGTTCACTAAAGAAGAGAAGATATGTTTTCTTGATTTTTCAAATCAGTTCAATTCCATGATGGATATGCTTCGAACATTTTAGGGTTCATACATCTTATTGGAAGTTGACAAACTTAAAAACACATGATTTTCACATCTTGCTTTGAAATCTTTTGCCAATTGGAACTGTAGGTCTGTTATGCAACAAGTCTTAGGTAAAAGACCAATATATGTTCGGGGATGGTCTAGGGGCCCGAGCACTAGGAGTGACTCTATGAATTCGCGACATAGAATCGGCTCGTCAGGTCGATTGAGCCATATTGAGATGTTTGTTAGACTTCTCTCGACACAGTCTGAGCTTGCTTCAACCAAATTTGAGTTTGCTTCAACTAAAACTGAGCTCTTTCTTATGAATGATGAAATTGTTGGGTTGTGTCAAATGGTGAAGTCAATTGTATCCGACCAACCAAATGTTTATATGATTTTGGATGTTCTTTTGATAAATTTGGATGGAGGGATGCATGCATGAGTTGATTAAATGTTAGAGTTTCTTCTAAAAGTTCTTATCTTTTATATGAAAAATCTATAAAATTTTATTGTTTTGGGGCTTTTATGAAGTCGTTCTTGATTAATATTAATATTTATTTAATTTTATTATTATATATATAATTATACATAAATATGTAATTAAAATATGGCTGAAATTAATATAAAATAAACTATTTAGAGAAGGAAGTAAGTTTTAAAAGTGTAACTAAAGATAACTATTAGAGAAGGTCTTATATTTGTGTATCTAAAGATGATATTTAGAGAATATTTTGTGAGTTTAGCTAAAAGGGACTTTTAGAAAAAGTTATTTAAAAAGTGTCGTTAAAACCATTATCTTTAGAAAAGTTTTTCAATATATCTAATCTGAAAGTATCTTCTATTAACTTTTATAAACCGTCACAAACACTTGAAAATGTCATTAATAAACACTTTTAAAGGAACTTTTTGAAAAAAGTTGACTAAACTTTAGAGAATATTTGACAGTGTATCTGAAGCCCTAAAAACATCTCTAAAAGTTAACAAAAACACATCCTTTCAAAACCCTATTTATCACCTTCAGCTACCTTTATATAGAGAACATCTATGACGGAACTAAAAGGCTTTTCTAGAATCTTTTCAGACTTTTAAGTATAAAATCAATCCCGTGTAAATTACAACTACATTAAAACACTTGATGACACTGAAAGCACCAACAAAGAATATAGGAAGTGCCATGAAATAACCATTATCATGTGTCATAAAATAATCTCTTAAATAACTCTTCATTTGGATATTTTTTGTACTAATAATTCATCAGTTAAATACCAGCCAAAACAACCGGTTACATATTCGACTAACGATTTCTCGGCTCAAGTTTCATCTCGTTTTAAAGATCATACCCACAAAATACCTCATATAACAACTCGCCAATCAAGCTTCAATGACTTCTATTCATAGAACTATATACCACACACTTTTTCCTGCCAAATAAAACAACATATAGAGGGAGGATCAAACGAGAATAATAACTATTTAATAGAATACAAAATCGGTCAAATCACATGTAATTTTACATTAATGATAAAAAAAAAGGTATGCAGGCGACTTTGACAGCGCCTTTAGGTCGTGGGGCAAAGTCGCGTGAATCATATATGATTTTGTACGCGATGTTAGTGTAAAATCACATGTGATTCGACTGTTTTCTTATTCTCTTAAATAGGTATTGTTCTCGTTTGAACCGACTATATATATATACACACACATATCATTCAAGAATGGTTGTTCTTCCTTGAATCATAATAGACTGAAATTGTACCCTCTTGATATCTAGAAATGTTGAGTACTCATTGTTCATGGGTTGTTTCCATGGTTCTCCATCCATCTGCATGAAACCTTCTTTCCATGCTCCACCCCTTAACTCGAATCGAATTTCTGACGCCTGATCAGCAACCGACCACGATGAAAAGTTGTAAGAAAAGGCTGACCCCAGTGTTATACATACAACAAAATTGGTTTTATCTCATGTCTAATTGTCCTAACAAATTGTTTAATAACACTTTAGTTTATATGACCAAACAATTGTGCATCTTATATAATTGTGTTACAATAAGTTGATTGAGGGTGTCCCTTACAATTTGTAAGCACAATTTTATAATAACGCATCCTATTAGTATGTATATGTATATATATATATATATAGAGAGAGAGAGACTAAGGGGCCGTTTACCAAACACTTACCCGGTAAGTGCTTACCGGTAAAATCTAACACTATAATTTACTTACTGGGTAAGATCTTAGTCCACCAAAACGACACCGTATGCAACAATTTACCTGGTAAGCGCTTACCGTGGTAAGAGTCGTCGCCTTCACTTACCGGGTAAGACTCTTGGTCCTTATCTCGCTCTTACCGGGTAAAATTTTTGGTCTTTACCATATTCATCCGGTGTAGGTAATGTGACTTGATAAGCGCTTACCAAGATAAGCGTTTGGTAAACGGCCCCTAAGGTTTAGGAGAAACAACAAAAAAATAGAAAACTGAGGAACACCCTAGTAACCATTCATTTATCCAGTTTGCACATATGCATAAAAGTTATTGAAAATGTTCCTCGTTTCTATGAAGTGGGCATTTTATGCATGTGTATACCAAACAAATGAATGGTTATTGTGTTTCCCAATTTTTCATTATTTTGTGGTTTCCTCCTAATTTTAATTAAAGAGTATTTTAGGTATTTTAGAAAACCTTATCTCTCCTCTCCCTCTCCGCTCCTGTGTCAACATTCCATTATGATACATTAATTATGATCATTCTCTCTGTGCATACCTACTGGTACTTATACTTTATGTGATACCCTAAGATACACGATGTGATACCCAATCTATACACATGATGATACCCATCCAACACACTATGATACCCATTGTATAGATGAGAAAGAGGTGCACTAGTGTTGATAGGTATTAGGGTTACCTAAATCAATGAGATATGAGGAGAAAAACAAATGGAAGATTGATACAAATATGAAAATTGAATAGATGGAAACAGCGGAATAGGATGTTACCAAATTTTAAGTTGCTAGGATGTCATCAAAAACAAAATTACTAATTTACCCATTATTATTAATATAAAAATATCCTTAATTATCTCAAATGAGTGACTCACACTGAATCTCAAGGTTATCATAAATTATGTAGTTGTGATTTGATTAAGCCCCTAATATATATTATATTATATTATATTATATTATATATATATATATATAGGAAAAGTTGAGATGTTTAAGGACAATTATCATGAGTCATTAATGATGATTAAGATATATATGGAAGATGATGAAGTTCATTCATTATGATCATGACTTTAGATTAGAAAACAAAATAAAATCATATGTATATTAGACTAGATGGATGGCTAAGATTAGTTTGTAAAGTTTGTTAGAATTAGATGGTTTATAAATGAAACATACCCTGCATATATATATAGAGAGGTTGGTTATTATACAACCTTTGTCATTTGTGCAACCAATACAACTCAATCTCAACCGTCCATTTCATTTGATTGATATGTGATTTTATGGAGGTTTTGATTTTCCTAATATAAAGTATTAATCATAATTAATTAACCGTATTCATCTTCCATAAATATTTAAATCATAATAAATGAACTCTAATCACTTCCATAAATATTTCAATTTATTGGGTTGCATTGGTTGCACAAATGCGATAGATTGTATTTGAAATAAACCCTATATATATATATATATATATATATATATATATATATATATATATAGAGAGAGAGAGAGAGAGAGAGAGAGAAAGGATCATGTGAGAAAAAGAGTTAAAGCAAGAAGCGTTAGAAGGGATCTCCACCCTTGATCACTTATAATCTTATGCCCACCCATGAATTGCACTTTAAAAGGGAATTGATCCGATGCATCTCAATGCATCTCATTATTGTTGATCTTCAATTAGGATTTATCCAAAAGTGGAGATTCCTTCTTACCCTCTCACCATAACTTTCTTTCTCACCGAAATCCAACCTTATATATATAGAGGCTAAATAATTTGAGAATTCTAAAATATGTGAGATCCGAAAGATCCATCTTAAGCCATTAATTTAGGATAATTAATAATATTAATTAAGGAGATAATTATGGAGATAATTATCGTTATTTATTAAATAAAAATTAATGAATTTTTTAAGAAATTTCATACTCTTTCTCTCTCTTCGTCTCTCCCCTATCACCGTGTTAACATACACATCATGCCCACAAGGTGAACACATTCTGAAAAAATAAAAAAAAATTAGTACGATGTTCACAAGGTTCACTTTGTGTTCATAAGTGAATATGTATAGATTTAGTTTGTGTTACAAGTTATACCAGATCTTTATAGATTTAGAGTGTTCACAATGTGTTCACAAACAATAATTATATTTCTAAGAAAATGTTCACAATATGTTCACCGTTCATGTTCTATTATTTGTGTGTATGTTATGGAGAGATGAGAGAGGAGAGATAAGACAAGAGAGACGAGAGATGGGAGAAAAAAATAAGAAAGAGGATAAAATAGAGAGAGAAGTTTTTAATTTATATTAGATTTTTTTTCAACTAATTATTTATGGTTTAAATTGGATCTCATGGATCTCACAAATTAACAAGTTCTTAAAAGAAACCCCCCATATGACATTATTTGAAAAATGTCTTATGAAAACAAGTGTCCTCTATAAGATGTGAACATAAGACACTTCTCAAAATGTCCTACAAAGAAGCTAATATGGCATGTTATATTGAAAAATGTCGTAAAAAAACTTATTAGGAAACCCAAATACGTCGTAAAATCATGTTATAACACCTTTATATTCAAGTGCAATTGTTTAGTCCTGTAAACTTAAGTCCAATAAAGCAGTTTATTAAGATATCATTGGTGTCCTATAAACTTAAGTCCAATAAAACAGTTGTAGCATCCGATAAAGCCAAAAAAAAAATTGTAGTGTTATTTGAAGAAAAAGTTGTTTGGTGTACCTGTGCAATGTGTTTTGCTGAAATGAGATCGACCATAACAAATGATGCATGCCATCCTTGTTTGAAGCCGAAAATCTCCAAGAGACCATCATCCGCTTTGGCCTCAACGAAACCTCTCTGCATTCAAATTCACACGAGGAACAGAAGCTGAATGAGGTTCGTTCCTACATCACGATCGTTATGTCGATGGCATCTGTTGAACAAATTAATATTACCTTTTCCAAGTATTCTGGCTTCAAGTTACCCCATGGATTCCTTCCACTTGCATAACTATGAAGATTCAAAGCAACTACAGACCTAACACTGCAACATTATTCAAATATTTATATATCACTCCTATTTATGTAAGCAACTGTCCGTGATTCCCTGTTTTTTTTATTAACCTGGATATCCAACCCGCTATGCAAGCCGACTAATCCCAGAACGACCAACTGCTTTGCAGATAGCCCGGAGTCGCCGCATTTGAACCTCCATGGCCACAAGGGGATTTTTATTCCTCTTTGGATTTGAAACTGGACCTCCTGGTACTTTTGACCTTTGGAGCTAAGCTCAAACTAATCAGGCACCACCCTTGTGGTTTTGATTCCCTCTTTTGAACACACATCAGAAGCCATAGGTCTTAAGTTTATAGAACCAAACAAATGTGCATCATATGTAAAGGTTTTACAATAAGTTTATAAGATGGTTTTGAACGTCCTTACAAGTTTTTTATGACACTTTTGAATCGAAGTGTTCTAATAGCCTTTTTACAGAACACTTCTGAGAAATGTCCAACGAACACATATTTGTATAGGACATTTGTTTTTCATAAGATACTTTTTCAAATAATGTCATAAAAAAGACTAATATAACCCCTTATTTCAAAAATATTCTAAATTTTTTTTGTTAGGATATTCCAAAACATCTTATAAACTTATTGTAACACCTTTATATAATAGGGTATAATTGTTTGGTCTTATAAATTTAAGTCCAGTAAAAACATTTAGACATATTTGATGTCCTGTAAAGTCGATTTTGTTATAGTGAGCAATAAGTTGATTTTACCTTGATGGAAAATGAATCAGCTCCCATTTTGGGCTGTTTAACCTTTTAATATGCAGCCTTAAAATGTTCTTCAGCCCTCTGCATTCAACATCTCTTTTACTCAATCATTTGTTTTATAGATTGATACAGAAAATATAACTAGTTTTCAAAGCCTTCACTACAACAAAATCAGGTTTATAGGATGCCTAAAGTGTTTTAAGTGTCTTCATAGAGTGCTTCATAGGACTTGAGTTTATAGGACCAAAAAATAAAGTGTCATATCTAAAAGTGTTACAATAAGCTTATAGAAAATTTTTTTGGCATCATAACAAGTTTTTTAGGACTTCTTTGAAATAAAGTGTCGTAATAAATAATTTTAAGAATGTCCTATAAAACCATCTTTTTATAGGACATTATAGGATACTTTTTCAAATAGCATCCTATAAAATTGCTACTACGACACTGTTTAAAAAGGGCCCTAAAAAACTTGTTACAACGCCAAAAAGCTTCCTATAAACTTATTGTAATACTTTTAGATATGACACTTAAGTTCTATAAAGCACTCTATTATAACACTTAACGCTTTACGGAACCTATAAACCCGATTTTGTTATAGTACTTATGTCTTCAATGATGTGTTGATGAAGATTTGTGCGCAAAATGGAACAGAAAAGGGTGAATTTATTGATTTTCTAACCACGCCGCAAACTACTATCATACTCGCTAAAATGCAAAAAGATTACTAAACCATGCCGGAGTTATCGATTTTACGCCATTTCCGGTGGTTATTTTTGAAAAAAACTACAATCACGATTCATATATAAAGAAATTCCTACCTCAAGCTCGGGCCAGTCATACAAGGCGTGAAAAACCAACCTTGTTTGCAGCTATAACCGGAGTAAATTATCTGTTGCAAAATAGAGCCATAAAATCTTAGATAAGGTTTCAACTCCTAACATGTATCCTTAAATTCCATCATAGAACACTACAACAAAATCGGCTTTATAGGATGTCAAATATGCAGCAGACCATTTTATTGGACTTTAAGTTTATAAGACCAAACAATTGTCTGTTCTATGTAAATGTAAAAGCTGATAGAATGCTTTTGGGTGTGGTAACAAGTTTTTTAGGACACTTTTGAAATAAAACGCCTTATTAGTCTGTTTATATGACGTTATTTGAAAAAGTACCTTATATAAACAAAGGTCTTATTAAAAGATGTGTTCATATAAAAACCTAATAGGACACTTGATTCTATAAACTTATTAGGATGCCCAAATACGTTCTAACATCCTATTGTAACACGTTTACATATGAAACACAATTGTCTGATCGTGTAAACTTAGGTTTTATAAAGTAGTTTAGTAACATATTTGGGGTCCTATGAAGCTGATTTTGTTATAGCGATAAATGTTCATATTAAAGAAATCAGCAGGCTGTATACAAAAAGCCAACTCAAATTTCAGACCTTGTTTGCAATAGGACTTTGTGCAAGATAAGGTTTCTCATTCCGTAGGTGATGGAAACTATAAGCCACTTGGGCATCCATTCCTGTATGCATTAAGCATATAAACCGATAAAAGATGATCAAGATTCAGACTCCAGAACTATTTGTGCATAAACTATGCATAATCACAATCTTGGACACAATCTCTGAGAATTGTGCATATACTTGACCAATTGATTCTTTTTTTGTTTCATTAATAGTACAAACGCATAATCATTTACAAACCCAATAAATAGTACAAATTTACAAACCAGTATTCATGTGCTGTATGTGTGAAAATGAAGCATCTATATAATCTTGTTTCAGATGTGAAACGTTTAGGTCTATTTTGTGTGAGGGGAATAAAACAGTTCTGAACATTCCACATGTGAAACAACACTGTGTAAATACTGCATTTTCACACACGAAAATTGGTTTTGTAAGTTTTTACTAATCATCGGGTTTCTAGAAGGAGACTCCAATAGTATAATTATAGTTAATAGATTGTAAAGTTATAACTCAAAAGTTGCTAACAGGTTGCACATAAGAAGAATGGCACACCTATGCTAAAATAGTTGTAAAAGACTCCTTGGTAGCAAGAAACTTGTTCAGGCAATCGGCCTGCATTTTCTAAATCCTAAAAGCAAGATTCAACTGTTACTCAAGCTAGCTAAAAAAGGCTCCCATATATACATATACATATACATATACATATACATATATATATATATATATATACATTCCCAACCTGATCAAGGATGACCTCTTCTGTTTGCTTCAAGGCATGAGGAGTATCCAACTCTACACCAGCAGGCATTGATATCACCAGATTCCAACTGCAGATAACAAGATAGAGCCAAAAGCATGCCATTAATTGGAGTAAGTAATGAACCAAATGCAAACATTTTGAAATAAGCTTAAGATGGTATACGCTCACCTATCCAAACGGCAAAGTGGAGCATGAAGAACCCTATCAAGCGTCTTCTTTATGGCCGTTTTCCAGTTGAAAGGAAACGAACCACCCTAGAAAATATAAATTGAACAACATCTTAACTAAGAAACTGAAAAAGGATCAGAAAACTGCGAGTATAAGGACATGATCATTAAGATTACCCAACCAAAATTCCTGGATAAATCGTTTCCTGTACCAAGAGGTATAATCGCTGTTGGTGGAACAGGATCTCGCCCTTGTTTGTGAAGCTCTCCCAGGCACCCAAGGACCCAACCCACCGTACCATCACCTCCTGCTACCTATCATATTATATGCCAACTTTTTTCATTTCCATCCAAATATCATACATCGTGTCAATGCAAACACTACAACAAAATCGTACAATGGTTTGGTCCTATAAACTTATGTTCTATAAAGTAGTCTATTATGATGTTTAGACATATTTAGTGCCGATTTTGTTGAAGTGAAATATGCAATGGTGGATGAGTTGCCATACCACAATCCGTAGCCTTTCACGAGTTTCCTTGGCACAAGAGTCTCCAAGAGCAGCAAAGTTTTCAAGGCAACCCAATCCATACTCGACAAATTCATGAGGCTTCACGGTTTGAAGGTCCAACACCTGCCACCAACAAGAAACAAACTTAATTCGTGTTCAAGATCAACCTATAAATGTATTTCATTTGTGTCGCTAATCTTTGGACCATTTCCTAAACACTTACCAACTCTTATCGGGTAACAGAATTGTTACTGCCTCTTAGATGCTTATAGGATTACCCGTCTTAACAAGATTTTTTAACACCTTTAATACAATGGCGTCGTATTAGCTTTTCACAAGACATTTTTGAGAAGTGTCTCTTTTGATATGACACTTGTTTCCAAGACACTTTAAATAGTTTCGCATAAAATAGTTAATACGACAATTTTATTTATTAAAAAAATGTCCTGATAAACTTGTTACCACCTCAAAACTTACCAAATCAAAAAATTACAACACAGCGGTTTATTGTTTAGCAATTTATTAGGCTGGTTCTGCAAACCCGATTTTGTTGCAGTGTAAGGTGTTTGAGATTGCTTATAAAAACAACTTATTGACTTATTCCGATGTGGCACGGGTGATAAGCATTTTCGAGTGTTTGGAAAAACAACTTATACCGGTGCCAGACCGGTAATAAGGAGTTTTTTGAAGAAGATTATAATAAGTTGATAAGTGCCTTTATAGAAAATAAGATGTTTCAAATGTGGTAAACATAGATCCATATATCAAGAATATTGATTTGGATGCTACAATGGGTGAAATCAAAGATTATATCAAGAGAATTTTATAAAAATAAATAAAAAAACCTGTTCTTCGCCCATTAAATTCTGCAATTTAGATTTAAGCGCATAGCCTTGGCGGCCACCGCTCTTAGAATTAACAAAAACAACCACCGGCGATTCAGGGGTACCGAGAGGACATTTTTCACCACCACCATCATCGACCAGACAGAGACTTGCAACGCCGTAATGGCGTTTTCCGGCATCAATACTTTTAGCCGCAATGGCGTCACGAATAGCAAGGCGCAAATATGCAGGCATCGTCATCTTCCGCCTCAAATCACCTCTTGAAACCCTAACTCCAGACATAGAACGCCCTTTGATCGATTCTATCATCGATGCTTTACTTTCCGCTTTATTCATCGCGGGATCCGGCCCCGATGATGATGCCATTTTCACTCAAACCTCTGATCTTTCCTCTTTCAATTCAACCTCAAGATCATAATTAGAGACGATGATTATCGTATGAGGACAATTTGTTAAGTTTGTGGAGAAATAGCATGATGTATGTGAAAAATATGGGCCGCGTGGCGGTGGTGGCGGTGGCGGTGGTCGTGTTTTTGAAGTCCGGCGGAGGTGAAATTCTGTTTTTTCTTTTCTTATTTTTCTGTGCTTTCGGTCTAAAGCCCATAATATCTCTCAACGAGAAATCGATGCATGCTCTTGAGATATATAAATTTGGAAATTTTGAGTTTTTATGCTTATGTTGAGTCAAATAGCATAAATATGCTTACTTTATTATTCTCCAGAAAATAATTTAGGATACGTTTACTAAACATTTTTTTTATTAACCTGAACATCCAGCCCGCTATGCGAGCCGACTAATTATAGGGTGACCATCTGTTTTGCAGATAGTTCGGAGTCACCGTATTTGAACCTCCGTCGCCACAAGGAGATTTTTATTACTTCTTGGATTTGAACATGGAACCTCCTGGTACTTTTGACCTTTAGAGCTAAGCTCAAACCAATCAGGCACCACCCTTGTGGTTCATTCTATTTGATTTGTGACATTTGGTAAAATTTGGAATTGACTTAGGGGTTGTTTATTTACCGCTTAATAATTCTAATAAAAGGCAATCTCTGAATCGTTAAAAGGTGAATCTTGTTTGTCAAAAAAAAGTCTGTCTCTTAATAGTTCTAAAACCCTCTGAATAATTTCGTATCTTTAGTCTCCCTTAACTATTCAGCGCTCTAATTTCATCGTAAACAATTACCAAACAATTATATATTTCATTTTAGATTATATCATGATAGCCTCTTAATCCTTCTGACCATTAAATCATTCCGCATCAAACCATTCAACAACTGTCAGACAGACCCTTACATTCAAATGTGAGTTTGATTTACGAGAATGTCCGGAATTAAAATTTTGAGATTTTAATGAAAACTCACAAACATTGAATTTAGAAATTTCATGGGGATAGATGGTATTTCATGAGATTTTATAGGATCTTGTTATAAAATGTGTAAAAAACTAGGCATGGAAATAGCGCGGAGACCTCGATCCCCATCCCTGTCCCCGATTCCTCATCTCGATCCTTGTTCCCATCCCCATTGGGTAATATGATCACATCTCCATCATCATACCCAACAAGGAACAGGGATCCCCAACGGGGAAACGAGGATTTTTTCTCGTTTATATAAGCATTTACAGATCAAATATACGAGAGACCACACACGTTTAAATCTCACATATTTTCGATAAACCTAAAATCAAAAAGAATTTAATTTAAATACAAAAAAAAATATCATATAATAACTAATTACCTAAAACTAAAATAAATTCAGTTTAATCTAAAAACAACTTAACGTCACACGTACAAAACATATTGAGTAACACAAAATCATATCGAGTAATATCCAAGACATAACAAGTAATTGTATTTTGACTTGACATCCAAAATATTACATACTAAAATAAAATAAAATAAAAGATAACAATTTTATATTCTAAATCTAGTTAGGAAATAAAAAATTATGAATTACCAATTAGTTGAAATAAATAGTGTGTGTGTGTATATATATATATATACATATATATATATAGTATTTATTAACTAATATGTATACATAATGAGTATGGGGCTGGGAGTGCGATACCCGTCCCAATCTCCATCCCGAGTTTGATACAAACGGGGATCTTTGTACCCGTGTTGATCCTCTCTCTCAGTGATTTGATGATAATCTTTTTTCACTTATACGTTGTATTTATGTTTCTGTCTTTTTCAGTTTCAGTGATCTTCACTGAGCATGTTCAGTGATTACTGAAGAACTTGCATTATAAATCTATCAGAGACAGCAATACTTCAAGAAGAAACACTCACACCAAAGAACCTTCAGTAAACGTCGAAGACTAAAACTGAAGATTAGAGACTGGCGAGTACATGATCTGAAGCGGTATTCAGTGATTACAAGTCTGTCTACATATGTGTGGAGACTGCTCAAGCTTCAACGAATAATGAAGAGACCTTCAGGTTATTCCAGCATTCAGCAATCAAAGGAAGCTTGCTTAGCACGATTGTTGTTGTCTTGTCCTTATGCACACAAAGGACAAAACCATACCCTTATGAAAGTTGGTACGGTACGGAGCCGACTAGTCGACTCTATTGTCCACCAACTTTAAGTAAGGATGTC